GTGTGCAATACACAAGAAGGGGGAGGGGAATGGAAGAACAAGGCTGATGGGAGAACAGTTAGGCAGGTTCACATGGGCTAAGTGGGACAGGAGTAAATGATGATGTATGCACAACCTTGGAACAACAGGGCTCCAGGATACAGGGATTGAGGCATGATTTGAAGGGGTAAACAAGTGGAATAGTGTTAAGATGCTTGGCTGTCTTTTGAATCTTGGTTTCCCTTGCCTACCATTGTAAAATAGACACTTGAGGGGGTGAGAAAGGAATAGCCAGAATCATCACTACAGAAATATTGTAAGTACATCTTCTGCCTATAACTGATTGGAATACCTCAAAGGGGGCTAGAAGTTGCCCAGTGAAAGAGGCTTCCTGTAGAGCCTTTACATTGCTTAAGACCATAGGTTGAATCCAGAACTCCATCCAGAACCGACTGAGGTAGGAAATTTCCACTGGAAAGGATGACTATACCAGCTTGGAGCTGCTGGAAGAACAGAAGATACTTCATGAAAGAAAAACCGGCAGGGAAAATCCCAAACAATAACAGCAGTCTGATTGATTACTACAAGAATAAGTAAGCTGTTCGGCCGGGAACCATCAAAGCAAGTGGTCGGCCCCTTCCAAGACTGAGACTCAAGGGGAATGTATGAGCAAGCATGTGGTCTGGCTGGTGACCACATTGGTCACCGATAAGGGGAAGAGGGGGATAAAACAGCAATGAAGTTGCGAGCTAAGCCCGACCACATTCAATAGACCCCCGTGAAACCAGGTGGAGACCTGGATGGCCAGCAGTATGGCAAGACCTGGGGACTCCTGGTCCCAGAGGCAGTGACATGGTCACAGAGGACTAGAGTGGCGAGTGAAGCGTCCAGCTGATATGAAATGAGGGGCGCGGCACAAGAACACACATACTTGCAGATAGTACTCACTTGATCTGGCTTTGATGGCTGGATGATCAGAACTCAACTAGAAGAAGAACGAAGGGCGGTGGGGAGAGTAACCTGCTACAATTTGATGAACTTGTGTATGTAGTAGCTCAAAAAAGGGAACAAATCTTTACAGTGAGGATCACTCCCACCCCCTCGGTACACAGGGTTGACAGGGACAGGAAACATAGACATTGGCTTCTGGTAGCATAGTGGTTACGAATCGGGCTGCGAACCTTAAGGTCAGCGGTTCGAAACTACCAGCTGCTCCGCGGGAGAAAGATGAGGCTTTCTACTCCCGTAAGGATTTACACCCTCGGAAACCCTGTACAGGGTCGCTATGGGTGGGAACCGACTCGACGGCACTTAACAACAACGACAACAACCCAAAATGGGGAGGGAGGCCTTAGTCCTGGTGTGGCACTGTGGGCTATTGTGTCAGACTGCAAAGTTGTTTGAACTGCGAGGTCGGTGGTTCAAGCTCACCAGCTGCTCCTTGGAAACCCTATACAGGGTTGCTATGGGTCGGAATCAACTCAATGGTACTTAACAATAACAACATAAAGGCAAGAAGTGACTGGCTTACAAGCTTTCAAGAGGGAGTCTTGTTCCAGACCGGGCAAGGGAAGGTAGAATCTCCACTGAATGATTTCCAATATGTTGGGACTGGCCTGGCGAAAGGAAACGGGGATGAGACTTTTGTGGTACAATAGTGAATAATTGCCATCAGGACTGACTGTGAGACTAGGAAATATAGTGGTAGATGTTTTTTGACAAAAGGAGGAGAGTGATTGATTTTGCAGCCCAAGAGCAGATGTCCCTGGAGCAGATGTCAAGTGAGAAGAACAGAGGGCAGGACCCTACTCAGAGACAGTGACGCCAGGGATGGAGACAGATGAGTGGCTGGGGACACTGGACTCAGGGAGGGAGAATGTCTGTGTGGTATACCCTTTGGGGTTATTTGATGATGCATGGAGGGGATTGTAATCATTTCAATGAAACGAAATATGATAGGATGAGTGTAAAGCTGATGTTCTCCCATGTAAACCTCATAATAAAAACTTAAAAAAAAAAAAAAAAGCCATGACCCAGTTGATGCTCTTGCTCTTGTCCTCTGTTCATTTAACAAATATGTATTGCCACCTAATATGTGCTGTATCCTGTGTTAGGGGCTGGAGCTAACAAGATAAATTTAAAAAAGGTCATTGCTCTCTATCTGCTGGCAGTCCAGTGGTTATAGAAATGGAAATCACTGGTAACTATGCATTGTGATAAGTACTGTTACAATATGGACCATAGGATATTATGGGGGGGCACAGAGGAAAAGACCTAACGGAGGAGATGGTCAGAAGAAACTACTCAGGAAAGAAAAACTTAAGCTGATTAAGATAGGGTTTGAATTCTGACTCTACTGCTTTTACTGTGAGGCTGAGATAAAATCGTGCTTCTGAGAATGAAATAATATATGAGTACGTGAAAGAGGCATAGGTTGCATTGGGAGACACTGCTGCTCTGGAGCTAGGGTAACCCACTTAAATTTTCCGAGCCTTGATTTTACTCCTTTGAGAAATGGAGTCAAGAGCTAATATATGTTAGGCCACATTTTATTTTTTCAATTCTATAAAGCTCAAGATGGAGTCCCTGGGTGATGCAACCAGTTAATGCACTAGGCTTTTGAAAGGTTGGTGGTTTGAGTCCAATCAGAGGCACCTAAAAACAAAGGCCTGGCAATCTACTTCTAAATCATCCACGGAACTTCCAAAAAAAATAACTCCATGGAACACAGTTCTACTCTTACACACACGGTATCAACATAAGTAGGAGTAAACTGATAGCAAATAGCTTTTGTGAGTCCCATGACAGAACAGGTACAGGGCAGGTTTGACACCCATCCTCTTCCACAAATAAAGCCCTACTTCTAAATCTTATTTCAATGGGACCCTTCTTACCTCCCTCTTCCAGCTGGGAAGCTCATTGCTCTTCCTACCAACACATCCTTGCCCATTCTATGGCTAGCACAGTGGCATCAGCCATGTGGGCACATGAGTTGGGAGATGGCTTCACTGAGGACTGAGCTTTGGTCGCTGCAACTATGCCTCTGGTTCCGCTGCTTGGATAGGCAAAATCCTATTTGTAAGTGATCGGAAGCACCTGGGTGCTTTAAGCCAGCGGATGCACGAAGTAAGACCCTGTGCCCAAGAGAGTGTGCCAGCCTAGGGGCAGCAGCAGAACTGAAGTCGTCGCTTTGTTCTTTACTAGGCAGCTTCCTGACCCCTTTCAGCTCACCCAGTCCCTCCTGGTGTGGCGCTGTAGTTTAAGAACTGGACTGCTAACCAGAAAGTTAGCCGTTCAAACCCACCAGCCGCTTCTTGCAAACCCTATACAGGGTTTCTATGACTCAACCGTGGTTAACAACTATCCCTTCGCCTGCCATTCGAAAATAGAACGGATAAGAGCCCGATCCTTTCCTGTCCTGCCCTACCCCGCCCCGCCGCTCCGCGCCCAGCTTGCGACAGATCCCTGCGCAGTAAGCACGAGGACGCCTGCGCAAATGTGCCCGGGAGGCGGGGCGTAGCCTTCTGAGAGCCTGCGTTTTGTTGACGCTTGGGTTTGGCGGCCCAGGAAGCGTTGTAGTTAATTTTCCAAATGTTGCGCTTGGCAAGTTGGAACATCAATGGATTACGGAGTCCCCTACAAGGGGTAGTAGGCCAGGAGCCCGGCAACGGCACCACCATGGCCTTGGGTCGCCTTTTGGACGAGCTGGATGCTGACGTCGTCTGTCTCCAGGAGACCAAAGTGACCAGTGAGCGCTTTAAGAATCCAGTACCCTACCATGCTTTCCCTTTTCCGCCAACTTTTGTCCCCTCCCCCATCTCTTTTTACTTTCCCACTTTCTTATCCTTAGTGCCCTCCCCCTAGACTCCAGCTCAGAATCCGGATTCTCTTCCCCTAAAACCCCATGTCCCACCCCAGCCTCTAATTCCCACTTCATTTTTTGCTCAGCCCAGAACCCGCCTCCCAAATTCTTTATCCTGCCCCCAACCCCATTCAAACTCTAATTTCCGGCTCTCCACCCCTCGATTTCAGATCCCCAATTCTCCTTAACTAAGGAGCTCTGGTAGCGTATTGGTTACGAGTCAGGCTGCGAACTTCAAGTTCAGCAGTTCGAAACTACCAGCGGTTCCGCGAGAGAAAGAGGCTTTCTACTGCTGTAAAGATTCACAGCCTCGGAAACCCTATACAGGGTCGCTGTGAGTCTGAACGGACTCCACGGCACATAACCATCACAAGTTTTCCTTATCTGCCCCATTCTTCACCCTAGCTCAAATCCCTTAATTCCCACCCTAAACTTCTTGTTAGTTGCTTAGAGTTAGCTCCACTTTTGGCAACCCATTGTGTGCAGAGTGAAACTACCCCATGGGGTGGAACTACTCCTTGGGGTTTTCAAGATTGTGACCTTTCAAAAGCAGACCTCATGCCTATCTTCTGAGGCACGTCTGGGTGGGTTCCAGCAATCAACTTTCCAGCTTTAATCATTTGTGCAACCCAGAGACCCCAAGCTTTGTTGTTGGTGGTTAAGTGCTATCAAGCTGGTTCCTACTTATAGGGTTTCCAAGGAATGCCTGGTGAGTTTGAACCACTGACCTTGTGGTTCAAACTGGCCTTGCGGTCCAATGCTTTATCTCACAGTGCCACACCTGGACTCCCTCTTTTTCCTACCCATTTCTCACCCCAGCTCAATTTTCCTCTTCCACACACCCCCTCGCATAACCCCTACCTTCTTCTAGCTCTATCACCAGTACAGCTTCCCTAATACTCTCTCCTCAAATTCCCAGTTGCCTCCCCCTCGCAGCGTCTTCCCTCACCTAGTTCTCCCCACTTTTAGCTCTGTCTCTTTGTTCCTTACATCAAATATTTCCCCTCTGACTCTATTGTCTTCCCCCTTCTAATTCTGACTTCAATTCCTTTTCTATTGCTGTAAAGCATGGAATCTGAAGGCTTTTTGCCTGTAAATGACTCCAGCCATGCAAGTGTTCAGATGCCAAGTTTTTTTGAGTACCTCATGCACCTCTGACAGATGAACTACCATAGTTAGAGTGTATTTAAAAGTGGGTCTTGGGGGGTGGGGGAAGTGGGCCTTGGGCTTTTTCCCCAGATCTCACAGGAACATTCCTGGATGCACCCCTTAAGGGTTACCTGGTTGTGATGTAATACCCTGAGAACCTCAAAGTAGTCTATAAGCTTTTCTATCTGCAATAGTCTCCTGCCTGCTTTCCCTAGGTCCAGCATACATATGTGAAGCATAGCTGCTGCTGTCAATCATGATTTTGGGGTGTGGGAGCAGATTCCTTTGCTTTCTGTGCCCCATAATAGGCCACCATGTGGAGGTATAGCTTTGGAAACTCATCATGGTGTCTATGATTTCCTTCATTCAGGTGATCTCTGTAAGTCTTTGTCTTGTATTTACTCCTGTGTGATGCTGCAGATTAATGCACTGTCTGTTTTAACCACAAAGTCTGTTTTAACCACAAGATCAGCAGTTCAAGTTTACCAGCTGCTGCTCGGAAACCCTATACAGGGTCTCTGAGTCGGAATTGACTCGACAGCATTTAACAACAACAACATAACATTTATATATTTGAAGATGGGGTCTCTTTTCTCCTTATAATACTATGCCCTACCTTTCTAGCACTTATGCAAATCATGAACCCTTCATTTTCACTCCCAACTCTGATGTGTTCAAAGAATTAGCTTATAGCTATAATTCTCAGCCTTTGTGTGTTCCTGGGTCCTAGTTCTATCTCTGATTTAATTTTTCTTCTTTCTTTTTCCAGGGGATGTGCTGACAGAGCCCCTGGCTATCGTTGAGGGCTATAACTCCTACTTTAGCTTCAGCCGAAACCGCAGTGGCTATTCTGGTAAATGGGACTTTCTTTAAAACAGAGATGGAAGAAGGCAAGAAGAAAGGTTTCCAATATTTGATGAGAAGATAATAAAAGGTTTAAGTTTTTAGTAAATAACAGAGTTGAAGCCATATAAAATTAAGTTATATGAAGAATAATTTTTCTGTATAAAATTATCCTGTTGGACCTGGAAAACTCTGGAGCCAGACTGCCTGGGTTTGAGTCTTGGCTCTCTTCCTAGTGCTGTGCCCTCTAGCAAGTTACTTAGCCTCTTTGTGCCTCAGCTGGAGAATGTAGATAATGCCTATTTCCTCGAGTTCTTACAAGATTAAGTGAATTAATCCATGTGATAATAATAGCTAACACTGCCATGTAACCGGAGTCCTGGTGTGGTGCTGCGGGTTAATGTGCTTGACTGGAAGGTTGGTTTGAACTGCAAAGTTGGTGGTTCAAGCTCACCAGTCACTCCTTGGAAGCCCTATACAGGATTGCTATGAGTCGGAACTGGCTTGCCAGCACTAAACCACCACCCCCACCTTGTATCCAGGGATCCTGGTGTGGCATTATAGGATAACCACTGAACTGTTAACTACAAAGTTGGTGGCTTGAACCCACCAGCCTCTCCTTGGAAACCCTATACAGGGTCGCCACGAGTGAGAACTGACTTGATGGCACTTAACAACTGTGTATCCTTGTACAATACTTAGAACATTAGCTGTTATTATTCTGTTTCTTTTATAGAGGGAACTGAGGCTCCAGGGTTTCAATAGGGTTGCCCCAGACTCAATGGAGTGAGTTATCCATGAATTTGTAGAGTGGTGAACATAGCCACACTTTTTAAAAATGATTCAGGTGTGTGTGGGCAGTTGGAGGGGAACAGCCTGTACAATAGGCTACTGGCTGCCAGTCCTGCTTAAAGTACCCTATTTATCTCCAGGTGTAGCCACCTTCTGTAAGGACAGCGCTACCCCAGTGGCTGCTGAAGAAGGCCTGAGTGGTCTGCTTGCCACTCAGAATGGGGACGTAGGTTGCTATGGAAACATGGATGCGTTCACCCAAGAGGAGCTTCGGGCTCTGGATAATGAAGGCCGGGCCCTCCTCACACAGCACAAGATCCGGTAATAACCCACATCTCCACAGTTTGTTGTACTCTGCAAGTATGGTGACTGAGCACAATTTGTTGTATTCTGCAAGTATGATGACTCCAATGCTTACCTTATAAATGTATTAACTAATAAGAAAGTTTCCAGACTTGCCTTTCCTTTCTAGCCTGAGCTGAGCTCACTATGTGACCTCAGGCAAATCTGACTGGCCTGGAGGTCTGGCTCTCTTATATGTACCTCAAAGGCAACTTTACCAATGCTGAACTCATTTGCCCCAAGTTACTCTTTCTCAGTTATGATGTCATGTAATCTGGTTTACCAAGTGTCATCATAAATACCCCTCTCCTTACCTCATCTGTAGTCATCTCCAAGAACTGTGCATGCCATCTCATTTATGTCTCTGTAACCCCTTTTTTCTTTTCTATCCTATAGACAGCCATTAGGTAGAAGCCACATGGTGAGGGGAGGTAAAGGGACGTGTGAAAATGACCCCCTTTTTTATGAGGGTGGAATTTCTCTTCTCCATAGAACATGGGAAGGACAGGAGAAGACCTTGACCATAATCAACGTGTACTGCCCCCATGCTAACCCCGGGAAGCCTGAGCGACTGGCCTTTAAGATGCGCTTCTATCACTTGCTGCAGATCCGAGCAGAAGCCCTTCTGGCAGCTGGCAGGTACTGCAATCCTGAGCTGCAAGACTTGCATGACTTCTAAGTACCCAGCCCTGTGCCAAGCTGCATTGAAAAGGGATGTGGATCACTGACTTTGAATTCATTCACAACCTAGTTGCAGATACGAGTATGCTCACTTGAACAGGCCTTGCTTCCTTAAATAGCTATGAGGACAAGATAATGTGGCACAGACATGGATTTTGTAGTTAGATACGTTCTGACCACTTATCCTGGCTTCCCTTTTCACTCATTGTGAGCCCTGAGGCTAGTCCTGCCTCTCTCTTTTGTTATATGAGTTTATGAATCCCTGTCTCTTAGAATAATTTGAAGGATGAAGTGAGACGAGGAAGGTAAAGTTGTTAGGTGCCATCGAGTCGGTACCGACCCATAGTGACCTTATGAACAGCAAAACGAAACACTGCCTGATCCTGGGCCAATCTCACTACTGTTTCCATGCTTGAGTTCATTGATGCTGTCATTTGGCCAATCCATCTCGTTGGGGGTCTTCCTCTTTTCCTCTGACCATCCACCTTATCAAACATGATATCCTTCTCCAGCGACTGGTCCCTCCTGACAATATGTCCAAAGTATGAGAGACGAAGTTTGGCCATCTTGGCCTCTAAGGAGCATTCTGGCTGAACTTCTTCCAAAACGGATCTATTGGTTCTTTTGGAAGCCCATGGCACTTTCAATATTCTCTTCCAGCACATAACTCAAAGGCATCAATTCTTCTGTGGTCTTCCTTATTCACTGTCCAGCTTTCACATGCATATGAGGTTATTGAAAATACCATGGCTTGGGTCAGGCATACCTTAGTCCTCAAGCTGACATATTTGCTTTTCAACACTTTAAAAAGGTCTTGTGCACCCCGATTTGCCTAATGCAATATGTCATTTGATTTCCTGACTGCTGCTTCCATGAGTGTTGCTAGTTGAAGAAGAAAGAAGTCCTTGACAACTTCAATCTTTCTCTGTTGATAAGAATGTTGTTTATTGGTCCAGTGGTGAGGATTTTTGTTTTCTTGACATTGAGATGTAATCCATACTGAAGTGACAGCTCTTTGATCTTCATCAGTAAATGTTTTAAGTCCTCTTCACTTTCAGCAAGCAAGGTTATATCATCTGCATATTGCAGGTTGTTACTGAGTCTTCCTCCAATCCTGATGCCACGTTTTTCTTCATATAACCCAGCTTCTTAAATTATTAGCTCAGCATACAGGTTGAATAAGTATGGTGAAAGAATACAACCTTGTCGCACACCTTTCTTAATTTTAAAACATTTAGGGTTCCCATGTTCTGTTCGAACAACTGCCTCTTGGTCCAGGTACAGATCCCTCATGAGCACAATGAAGTGTTCCGGAATACTCATATTTTGCAAATGTTATCCATAGCTTGTCATGATCCACACAATTGAAAGCCTTTGCTTTCTGATATTTCTTTCTGATATTCTCTGCTTTCAGCCAAGATCTATCGGATATCGGCAATGATGTCCTTCGTTCCACACACTCTTCTGAATCCGGCTTGAACCTCTGGAAGTTCTCTGTCAATGTATGCTTGCAGCCATTTCTGAAAAACTTTACTCGCTTGAGATATCAAAGAGATTGT